GCATGAGTATAAGTACGGTCCCCATACTCATTACTCACACCTCCATAGCTAACGAATGTACGCATATGACACGCAGCACGAAGCCCGTTAGGCCGTGCGTGCAGGGATGTGACGGTGCGTGAGGCTAAGAAAGCGTTCAACATTACTACGCTTAACAGGGCGAATAATCGAGAGCGTCAGGACAAGTGTACCAGAGCACGACCAACATTCACGATACTAAGCTGCATTCATCAACGATACATGATGGTTAGTGGACTGCGGACGGTACACGAGACAACACAAACTTTACGAAGATCATTGGTACGATACGTTGTTTAATGACATAGCAATGGATTCACGATATGTAAGATAGTCAGCAAAGCAGTTATCGTGATCGTCGATACGATGCGCTCATCAACGACGTCTGTTATCGCTACACCGACGATAAAGGGGGACGAGGAGAGTGGTAGCAGAGATAAGAACCGGTACGCGATAATGATGGAGGTGAGATTGAAGGGGCGATGAGAGACAAGTGTGAAAGATCTATAATGCCGAGAACGACACGCATCGATGATAAAGGAAGTTGCAGGGTGAGTGACCAGAGGAAGGAGATAAGATGCAAGAATACACATAGTGTCTATACTAGAAATGTTAGTGTAGGTCGGGTGTAGAAATATTCATGACGAATTTTTAGATTGTGTCTACGTTCTGGGACTTCAACGCTGATACAGGTAAGGATCCAGCTGCCAGCCAACTTCGAACTTCTTGATAGCACAAATACACAGATACACATTACGTTATCCAGCAACGCAAAACTGGATCCAGCTACGCATTACGTTACCCATCTACGTACAAATGTGTCCAGTTATGTACAAGTTTATCCATGTACGACAACATCTACCAAGCAGCGCATTTACTTGCCCGGGCGGCGACTTCAGAGCAGATTGCCACCGAAAAGTCTTCTCCTCAGCGGGGAGTTCAATGAACCGAGCAAGGACGATACTCCCTGGCTGCGGGAGGCTGCATGGGGCCGGCGAACGCGGGAGGAATAAAGGGATTGCAAGGAGTACACAAGTAGCGCAGGAGAGGAAAGAATGAAAACGAGAAGGCAGGAGATTAAAAAAAAAATAGAATGCAGAACGCGGTAGGATGCAGATGAGAGAAAGTAGGAGATGAAATAATGCAAAATGAGAAGTCAGAAAAGAAAAGAATGTAATACGAGAAACTCGTAAGATAGAGAAACCGGTGAGGCTTGACAAGCAGGGTATCGTGCGTGGAAAAATCACTCATCTTGCACGCTTCAGCACTCTTGTGTGCTTCAGGCCGAGTAGTATGTGAATGTGTGAAGCTATGTGTGTTAGTGAGAGGGTGTGAGTGTGTGAGAAGGCATCGGTGGGAAGAGGTTGTGATGCCCGGGAGTGATGCGTGAGATGCTGCCGGCCCTAAGCACCCGTCGGGCAGCAGGATGACACATCACAGAGTGGAGAATAGTAGGTAGCTTGTAGCATTGCAGGGAACTGTAGTAGATTGTGGCATCTTACCGTGTAGCATCGCAGTGTGCTGTAGCAGTAGCACCTATACGTAAAGGCACAGCACCCCCGTGTAGCAGTATCCAGATCGCAACCAAGGATAGCATACAACGAGCTTTGGCTACCCACGTGGCGCTGTAGGCATGAGTGTCGTCACTCGTAGGAGAGATGCACGAGACGCTAGGTCGTGGCGCCCGTCACATGCGGCCTTAGTATCCTTAGTACCTCAGTATCTTTGGTACCTCAGTATCCTTAGTACCTGAGTATCTTGGTACCTTAGTATCCTTAGTACCTTTGGTACCTTAGTATCCTTAATATCTTTGGTACCTTAGTATCCTTAGTACCTCAGTACCTTTGGTACCTTAGTATCCTTAGTACCTTATAGTATCCTAATTAAGGATACCCCTTAATATCCTTACTGCGCGTTTCGGACGTCGCAGTCCCAAGCCACGCCCAAGCGGCCAGTCCAACAAAAGGGCCAACATCACACTAGATGGTAGCAACGTTTACGATACTCGAATAAGGACCAACACCCTATACATTGCCAAAAAAGAGCACGAAAGCTGGAGATGAAAAATACCCGTTGAAATTACTTAAGTTACTAAAGTTAAAATCAATTCTGTAGCTCGCTCTTTCGTTTGATGACGAAATGTGTTTTAGCAACGGCAAGCGTAGAGTCTTGAAGATATTAATGAGTCGGCCGTAGCATTCCCTACGCAGGATTGCGGTAGAGCAATTCCAACACAAGATTGTGACCCCCGCCCACTAATGAGGCAATTGTCACTTATCACGGCAATCTTTAGAGTTGACCAAAATGTTTTTGAAAATTCTATACATGATGAAGTAATGAAGACCCACGAAATATGAACAAGTAAGACGTCCAAATAAAGCACGAGCTCGAGAACCAGACGATCTGATCTGCGAAACGCGGCGCATTTTTTAGTGCACGGCTTTCTCCTTCCCTTCGCAGTACACTCGGAAAAATAGTTGGATGGCATTGTCTAAATATCTCGACATACGCTCTTACCCAACGTAGGAGCAGAGAGCGTACGTATCACTGAGAAGCTCTTTTGCTGAGCGAAACTGAGTCAAGATGACTCACACAAGCGTTAACAATTGCATCGCTTTTTGAACAAAGTCTCAGCCATTTCTTTGAGTGAGCACCGCTGTAAGCATGCTTGCATATTTCGTTACTGCGCACACTTCAGTAATAGTGGTATATCACTTATTGTTGCGGAAATAAAGTTGCAATAATAATGTATGCTACTTTCTAAACTTGCCTGCATTGCGATGCTCTAGATTCGCACCTTAAAACATGGTTCGCTTTAAACAAGCAGGCGAATTTTTTCAGCACATTGCCGACCAGCAGGTGCGCCAAGTTTGCACTCGAGACAAATGCGCCGAAGGCAAGACTGAGGCAAAAATTATTCCAAGGATACATCGTAGAGTTTGGTGTTATCTTTGCTGTCCGTGTTGTGGCCATTTCAATTACTTCTCAGCTTGTTGCTAAATTGTTCCAGCAGCAGACTCGCTTGTTTCACAGCTGATAGAAGTTGTTTTTTGTCATCTTGTGTAGCTTGCAGCCAAACGTGGCTTGTACAACGAGAAAACAACTTCAACTCACGACGGCACGCCTCATGCAAGCCACTTTTTACAATTTAGCCGCAAAGAAAACCACCTAAGTATTTCTTTTAAAAATATACCAAAGTCGACACTATATAATTTTACAGTAAATTTGACACTGCAGCGCGATTTTTTATTCGAAAGTTGAAGAAGCATTTCCCTAGACAAATTTTGCACGATTCGAGAATATAGAATTGTTGAACGCAGTTCAAGTTTTTAATGAAGAACCGTGAGATGAAAGATATTTTCGATAATAACAGACGATATATTAACCGTCAATCGCATCAGAACATGGCAGACGTGAATGCTTTGATATCAAGTGATTCAATTACCAATCAGGATTGCGGCGGATGGCGAACAACATTTGAGTTAAAGACAAACTTCGAGAAGCAGGGGTCAGTTTCGGCGACCAGTGAAGTGTGAAATGGATAGCGAATGACGGCAATTAAGAGACGGCCGCTAGCATGGCGTGCAGTCTCGGGACAGAGACGAGGCATGTTCTAATCGTCTTATAATTGCCTGCCTTGCTAACGGCACGACCGGTTACCGCTTGTGATGCGAAGTAGTAGCCGTGGTAGGGAGCTTGGCTCAATGTCTCATTTGCAACTGCAAACTTATCACTTGTGTTGGAAAGATAAACGCCCATCGTTGGCACTTCATAATTGCCTTCCAGTTAGCATGGATCCTCTCTCTTTCCCAACTTCACATATGTCAATATGTAAACATTTGTATAAAAGGAATTACCACTTGAAGTATACCAGTGCATTTAAGTAGAAAAATTCTTCGTTTGTCAACTTTACATACGTCAATGAAGCACTCTTAAATAAAACATATTAAAATTACAAGCTCGCCGAAAGAACAGCGTACACTTCCTGCACACATGCAGGAAGGCCCACATGCGTGCGCAAGCTGCACACATGTATGGATGTTGGAATTACACGTGTTACGAAGCCACGCATGGAAACCCACCTAATTTTTGATATGCAGTCTAATACGAACAAAAATTTTGAAGAAAAGACCATTTTAGCTAACTGCATTCGCAATGCCATAATTGCTCAACACTAACAAGTTCAGTTAAACTGAATATAACGATCATAAATTACTGCTTAGATATCTTTTGTGTGAACTAGCAGGGAGATTACCGTATCGAATTTCAAATAGATGATGTTACACTAAATGCCTCTAATTAACACTTCGTGTGCTTAATGTGTGTGTGGTAGAGAGGATATAGTACACCTTTGCTCCGGTGAACTCGTGTGTAACAATTCATACAATTTGTGCGTGGACATGTGGATCTGCATTAAAGTGCTCTAACACATCACTTGCATGTGCATAAAAAGGTAACAAAAATTGAATACTTCACTTACAGAGGCAAGACTGCACGCAGAGACTGTCCAAAAAGTTGCACTCACCCCACGGAGGCCATGTTCATGTATGGTGATGCTGAACATGAATCATGAAAATTATGGTGATAATGATAATGATGGCACAATGGTTCAACTCACTCCAGAGTGAGCAAATGTATGGTGATTATGAATATGATATAAATGATGGTGATGATGGTACAATGATGTAACTCACTCCTGAGTGGGCGCATGTATGGTGATATGAACAAGAGATAAATGATGGTGGTACAATGGTGCAACTCATCCAAGAGTGAGCACATGTATGGTGATTATGAATATGATATAAGTACAATGGTGTAACTCACCCCTGAGTGAGCGCATGTATGGTGATTATGAACAAGACATAAATGATGGTGGTGCTGATGCTGATATAATGGTGTAACCCACCCCTGAGTGAGCGCATGTATGGTGATTATGAACAAGACATAAATGATGGTGATGATGGTGCAATGATGTAACTCACCCCTGAGTGAGCGCATATGCGCAACAGCCATGCGCAAGATGGTGAGCTTGTCAGGTTTACGGGCGAGGGCTGAACATGTAGGCACCATGTCGCTGAGCTCGGCTATGTAGGCAGTCATCTTGTTGCGTCGCCGCCGCTCTATTTCGCAGTGGTTCTCTCTGTCGGAACACATACAATCAATAATAATATATCATTGATAATATTCATGAATGAATAAGTAGAGCAGCTAGTCACGCATAACATAGATGGGTCCCGGCAATATGTATGTGTGGGCATGAGGCTCAATGTTTAAAAGGAGCCTCAACATCTAACTTATATTGTGCTATGCTTCAAGAACAATATATTACCGCGAATATGATGAGTTTATATGATGGAAGTTGCAATATTTACTGGTGATGACGTCACGTATCTTCTCCATCAAATTTCAAGACAATGATTATAACGCCTGTTGAGCGTGTATAATTTACGTATAGCAATACATTCAATAATATACAACATGTGCGGTCACACATTAGAAGTACTATCATTCTTAATTAGGATGTGTAGTAGTTGAATTAAACATACGATGCATTACAATGACATTGGGTACACAATGTGACGCTACGCTACGTTGATTGTAACCTAAAAGCACAAGACACACACAGGACTTAAAATAACGTAACAAACAATATACAATTAATAGTGCATGCACATGACGCCTTCATGTTTCATTCAAGACAACATGACACGCCGCATGATAACCACATTAACCTGTACCACAGACCATAACCGTTCGAGCCACCCTCTCTGTTTTTGGTACAGGGCATAAGACGAGCGAAATATCCGCTTATCACGAAATAATTAGTTATAAATATACAAATAATAAAATAATGGCGAAGTAACCTAAATAAAATATAACTCAGAGAATATAACAGAAAAAACCGTCAGTAATAATGAGATAGATTTTGAAAATTTTGTACACGTCAATTAGAAAAAATCATTGATGTTTATTTACAACAAATAAATCATTAATGGACAACTTGACCAAATTATGGGCGAAACATCGGTGGACACTCGATGAGTAACGGTTAGCCTCCCAGAGATACTCTCAATATTTGATACCGGAGAAGTAAAATGGAAGATAAAAGAAAATAATTCTCAACGTCTGCTTGGAGCTAAATAATTTCAAATCTTTCCAGACACCGCATTATTAGGAACTCATTTAACTCCTAAATCTGTTATAGGAAAAGAATGTCGTGGTAATTGTTATTTGTAAAATTAATTTAGGTCTCAATATAGGTATTTTGCCTCAGATCAAGATTTTCTTCGTTATCACTGTGAACATTTGGAACCAGGCGGGTGCCACGTGAACTGCGCATAATAAATACTTCATTTCATTTACACATGCAGCTTTGCCCCAAGAGTTTGCGTTGCCTAATTTTTGAGCATTCGTTCGAGGACGCTCATTGCACAGAAAATTTATCTCACGCCGTAGTGTTGCGATTACTTCTGTGAAGGTTATCGAGTCCTCGTTATCATGTACGATAACGTACAGATCGCACACTACTATCGTACTTTGAACTCGAGCGTAGCTCCTGCACTTGGGTGCACTTGCCTCTCGCACTTTGCTTTCTTTCTTTGGACTCGTACTTTGCCCTCACACTTGCACTTTGCCCTAATATTACACTTTCACTGTGCTATTTCCATGCAACGCGACGTATATATACCTTAACAGTTCAATTCTTGATGGAGAAAAAGTAATTGCGTAATGAGAACATCAGATATATTTTCTCCGTCTGTCTTACTCAATGCGTACTGTGTCTCGTATATTAAGGAGACATCCGTTCTCAATTAAGTTAGCCTTAGCCGCCTCCCCAAAACCTACACCCATTCATATTTATACAGGAACTTATTCATGATTCAACCCTTATCTACCAAGGGGAGGACAAAAATGCCCCTAACTTTTTAAGCTTCCAATAAAAAGTTGTCGGTGAATCTTACAGACTTTGTCCGCCGGGATATCACGACTGGAATTCATAGTATCAATAATATTACAGTTTTCTTTATTTCCACCATGTTATATTTTGCAGAATAAGTAAAACTTCCTACCATCATACATTGAGGCAGCAAGCTTCAGGTACTGCCAGGCATCAGGCGTCAGTTGCACTCCAACTTCCGAGGAGTAATGTCGATGCCACTGCCCTGTCTCCACAGTCCCCACATTCACACCATCAGCAACATAACCACCACAGCATAATCGCTCTGTAGTTAGTTAGTTTAGTGGCCAAATGTTTACTAGCGCTTCAGTTATTTAGCTATATCGCACCGAAAGTCAAGATGAACATCACCAAACAGGTGGAAGGTCTCGGTTATCGAGAGTTTCTCAAATCAAAATTTGTTCATCAGCCATAAGGCGCGGAAGGTCTCAATTATCCAGCCCGCTGAAGCTGGCTTGAAAGAAGTAGCGTTAGCATCTCAAAGAGACGAAGTGACAAGGAGGGACAGGTGACAAGGAGGGACAGGTGACAAGGAGGGACAGGTGACAAGGAGGGACAGGTGACAAGGAGGGACAGGTGACAAGGAGGGACAGGTGACAAGCAACAGAAACTAAGACACTCGAACAAGAGGTCGTTTACACGGGACGTCGGCCGATCGCACGAGAAAGACAAAGAAGGGAAATGTACGGAATCCTATTAACATAATAAATTACTGTAAGGAATCCTACCTACATAATAATTTAATGTAAGGAATCCTACCTACATAACAACTTAACCCCACAACTGAGACCTGCAGTCAGACACCGTGAGCTCAGCGGTGGGGCGCTCAGGAACAATCCCCCTAGGAGCGCGAAATCCCATAGGACTTCTGACGAGCACAGACACGCGTCAGAAGTCCCCCCTGTCTCTGTTCGACCCTTGAAACATTTTCCTATCATATCTTAAAACTTTCAACGCAGTTCTTGTAACTGGCAATTTCCTACCAGATCTTAAAACAATTCAGAGCAGTTTTTGTAGCTGCGATTTTCCTACCAAATCCTGTAGCAATTTCAACGCAGTTATAACAACAATAATTTCACCTAATAGAGCCTATAACCAAGTTCTCAATGAAGCTATTTCAGTATAGATGAGCACTGCAGCGATATCTTACCATTTCTGCTCCTTGCCAGATTTAAAATCTAGTAAAATAATAATATAAATAATACGGTACCTCTCGGCGCGGTAATCACTGGATCGTCAATCAGATAATAGTTTTTTTTTCTTTTTTTTAAATGCCTCCCACACTCACCATTCCAACAAAAAGGGATTTATTAATTTTATTAATTAAAAACAGGGAATGGTTTCATGCCAATGATCAGGGCCCCGACCTTAACGCCTCTGATGGTGGCCTACTGAGGCGTTAAGGTGGCCTCTCAGATAATAGTTTAGATCTTATCTGTCATAACGCTAGCTAAGCCAGTCCTTGCAAATTACTCAGTTCCGAGCGTTCGATTGACTGCTAAAATGAAACTAACATTGAGATCCGGAGCGTTCGAACATAAATAATTTAGTTATCCCAATTTCAAACTGTTTTAGAAAAACCGTCTGCATCCATGCATGGAAAAGCAGGTGAAATTTAAAATTAAAGCAGCATAACTGATAATAATGTCGTTGAGATTGCAATGCAAGTGATAATATTGGCATTAACCCAAAAAAATTGACAATAGTAGGTATATAGAAATAGTAAGTGATTGATGAATTGGTTAATGGGTAGTGGCATATGGCAATCATAGAACGTACACGATCGGTGATGATCACGTGATAAAATTCCCTCACATGCCGACCCTCAGCTACCCTCAGAAATGAGCAGGACTTAGTCCATATGGCAAACAGTTTCTACCCTCGTGTGGGTCATCCTGACACATTTTGGCCCGACAAAATTTCGTATGTCAGTGCTACGTGAGAAAGGTAACATATAAACAGGTCATCTCTCGGAGTGTAGAAATAGCACAGGTCACAGAACGCAACGTCGGCGTTATTACGTGTCATTAATTTCAACGACACACGGTGACGCTGGCCTGCCTTGAACATGTCAGCATAAATGTGAAAATTTTACTGTCCACGCGCAGACTGTGGCAGTTCGCACTGTAAAAATATCCACGCGACGACTGTGATGTATCTGAGATACAGACACATTCCTACGATAAGCCTAGAGTGTCACGCATACATCTACAGTGATGTATCAGAGATAAGACACATTCCTATGATAGGCCTAGTGTTTCACAAATACAAGAGCGTGATGTATCAGAGATACAGACACATTCTCGAGCCGAGCTTAGTGCATCACGAGAACATTTCTACACTGATGTATCAGAGATACAGATACATCTAAAGCCATGTATCAGAGATACAGACACATCTAAAGCCATGTATCATCGCGAAATCCCATAGGACTTCTGACGAGCACAGACACGCGTCAGAAGTCCCCCCTGAGGAGAATCACTCCGTAAGAGATCAATTTTCGAATATCGCTAATGTTTGGGCGGACATGTTACGCTCCATCTATGTTGTTCTTTATGGTATTCCAGATGATAGTCATGCACGACGAGCAGATATTGCTACTGTAACGAGCATGTATTACCTCTTATTTTTATTGTTGAACTCTATTTAGAGGACAAAGAATCCAGAACATCTAGAGAATTCACATTTCGATGATGTTTTGATCGGACTTTATAGATAAATTTTCAAGTGTAAAAAACGGTTAATATACTTGGGTGAAAATGGTACTAAACCGTTTAGCACAAGAAAATGTTGCTAGACCGTTTAGCACAAGAAAACGGTACCAAACCGTTTAGCACAAGAAAACAAATAAGTAAACTCAAACATTTACCAGTGATTCTAAAATACTACTACTATGTTACAAGAGTTTAGTTTCAGTGACGATTATAGACATAAATAAATATCGACATAGAAATGTAAACAGGAGATATTAGTTAAGAAAGTAGGAATTCTGGGGACACTAGTTCAAACTTCCAAGATAGATCCAGCGGTGTAACTAGATCAGCTCCAAAAATACCAGCTAAAATTTTTGTTGTGTTTGCAATATTATTTATATTGTGTTTATATATTGTCTTTGCAATAACAATAAAGATGCAATTGCATCTTTATTGCATCTTTAACTCCGTTAAAGATAGAAAGATAGA